ATTGTGATTTGAAAATTCAATAAATTTTGTTCTATGAAACTTCTATCAGACTTTTGAGCTACAAGAGCTCAAAAGCATAAAAAAAGCTATCTCTTCGAGCTTGGAGAGCTAAAATAATACATAAATCGGAGAACTCAAAAACATCATTAGTGCAATTTTAAGCACCTAGGTATGGCATTAGCGGGAAGTTGTTGGGATGGCCTTCAGGGTCTACCGTTTTTCTAATTTTTTTTTTCAATCAATTACAAAATTTATTTTTGTCTTAAGAAATGAATGAGCGTTATGAGGCGTGCTCTTTTGGATTTTCCAAACTTTTTACAATTATGGCGGAAAGTTGAAAAGTTCTAACAATCTGCAAAAATCAAAATTTATGTATTATTTATTTTCAAATAAAAAAAAAATTCTAATATTTCTGGAAATATTGTAATTATCAAATGGCTAGTGATTCAGTGCAGACTTCACCAATACATCAAATTCTCTGGAATAAAATGTTAGAAATTTTAATTTAGTTAATTGTGTAGAAGTGTTTTAATTATGAGAATGTACGAATTAAAACTCTCCAGAAATTGTCTACCAATGGTTTTCAAAAAATCAGGACGTTATTGGTTTCACCCCGGTTTTCGAAATTCGAGTTCTTATCAGATCTCCACGTTTCGAGGTTCAGGAAGCTATTCTAACTATTTCTACGATAACGGCAATGTGTGTGTGTGTGTGTGTACGTAACCCTCTTCTAACTCTTGACCGGCGCGACCTATTTGATTGCGGTTGGCGTCATTCGAAAGGGCTTAACCGAACTTAAATTTTCAATCCAATTTGAATCGATTTGGACTAATAGATTTCAAGAAATCTTGAAAAAACTACGAAAAAAATTTTGTTCAAACATTTCGTGCTTGAAAAACTGCGTTGATTGCTACAAACTGTATCAAAATCGATTGATTCATTTGAGAGATATTTGACTTTAATAAATTCCAAAAAAGTGTTTTTTTATCATAACCTCCAAATTTTATGTCGAATCGTTGGGTAGGTAATAAATAATATTTTTGTGCTTGAGAAACTGCTTTGATATCTGTAAGCTCCATTAAAAACGATTGATTTGTTCAGAAGATATATCGTAGTTATAAATTTTCGAAAAATTATGTTCTCAACAACCACTAGAATTTTAAGCTCGAAGAGCTTGAAAAAGAATAATAGTTGTGTTCTTAAGGTCGAAGAGCTCAAAACTTCGAAAAAGATAATTTTTCGAGCGTTTTGTACATAGCGGGAAGTTACAGGGATGGCCTGCAGGGTCAATCATTCTCCAGATTTTTTTTTGCAAAAGAAAAACTCTTCAAAAATAAAATTAGGAAGACGGTTGACCCTAAAGGCCATCCCTGTAACTTCCCGTTCATTTTGTACTTAAGCGCTCAAAATTACTCATTACGTTTTTGAGCTCTTCGAGCTCAAAAATATGATTTTTGTCATTTTGAGCTCTCTGAGCTCAAAACTCTAATAGCAGTTTAATAGAACACAATTTTTTCAATTTTCGAACCGCAATAACTTTTGAATGAATGAACCGATTTTCAGGCGGTTGGCAGCATTCGACGCAATTTTTGAAGCCTCATTAAGAATCTTTGAGTATGAATTGATCGAACTAGGAATTTCGGAGTGATTCCGAAAAAACACGTTTTTGAAATCGATCGATAAAGCCGTTGAAAGGTTATTCCAAAAAAACCACATTTGAAAAAATTTTTTTTGTAGTTTTTTTGAGATTTCTCAAAATCTACTGGTCCGAATCGGTCCAAGTGTATTCAAAATTTAAGTTTGGTCAAATCCTTTCGAATGGTGCTAACCGCGATGGAATCGGTCAAGCCGTTCAAGAGTTATAAAAGGGTTACACACTCACACACACACACACACACACACACACACACACACACACACACACACACACGCACACACACACACACACACACACACACACACACACACACACACACACACACACACACACACACACACACACACACACACACACACACACACACACTA